CTAATAATATTCAAACTGAAGAGTTTTTCCTCTATAAATTTTTGTTTAAGTTTACCATAAAAGTTATTTGTACTCATTTTTTGGCCCCACAATTTCTAGAGGGGAATAAATCAGAGTAATCATAAATTCGACTCGGGATTAGTCTCATAATCGACTCAAAGAATTGAAACTTGTAGATATACCGAGAACCGACAAGCATAAAAAAGGTAATTAGGGTAACCAAAAATTTCTTCCATTAAGAGTTTAACTCTTACTCAAATTTTCATATTTTCAAATAAATTATTTTTATAAATAAAAAGCTAAGCACACATCTTCTAAAATTTATTATTATTATTATGTAGACACCACCCATTTGACTTCAACCTTGTACAATAATTTGTCACTTGTTACAATGACCTCTTCCATACATTCCACGAGCATCGGATCAAAAACAATCTAAATTGAACTAAAAATAAATATTTTTATATGCAAATAAGCGAGCGAGCATGACAAAATATAAAACTTTGTTCACCAAAAAATAAAATAAAACATGCATACGACCCAATCCATAACCTTACGGATTTGCTGGACCAAATGGGTCATTCGATAGCAGCAACATTATTATTTTTTTAAATAAATTGTGAAACAATTATGTTTCTTTTAAATTAATTTATCTTAGTAAACACATAAATAAATTTGCAAGGGAATTTATGTATTAGTTTTTTTTTAAAAAAAAAACTCATTTTTATGTCATCATATTAAACTTTTGTTTCTATTGGAAGTTCTAACCTTATGATCTAATGATGCTTATACATAACAGAAGCATAATAAATTAATAATCACCAAATAATAAATTATTATACTAGTTTTTTTAGAGTTTTCATCTTTACCAATTTTAATCTCTAACCTAATATTCCATCCTGATAATAAATTATTCATCTTTCTTCCTTCAAAACCCTCCTAATAGCTTCATATAATCACAAAATTGTTTTTAACTTTATTTTTTAAGCTCTTTATTTTTTAACTTTACTTAATAGTAGCTTTTAACTTAAAAAAAAAAAATATGTCAAACAAGCTTTAAGTTGATAGCATAATCAAATTTAATGTCAGACCCATACAACCAATTCATTGGTTCAACTAGTGATAAGCGTCACTTCAACCCAAAATCTTAAGGCATTGAGTGAGACTTAATTGATTATTTTGTATCTTTTGTATCTCTCTGACTCGTCCTCTCACACAAAAGTCCTTTAGGCTTGAAGTGTGGATATGACACGGGCCCTTTTTTTATTTACCTTGAGCTGCATAGGCCCATTTTATATTTTTTGTTTAGCTTGTGCTTTTCTTAATTTTACTTGAAAGTAGAGGGGTGATGATCGAACTCATGACCTTCTAGTCACTCCAGCTCTGATATCATGATAAGCGTCACTTCAACCCAAAATCATAAGTCATACTTAATTGATTATTTTATATCTTTTGCATCTCTCTAACAACTAATTGATTTGAGCCAAGGTTTTAACCTTAGAAAGGATCAAGATTTTCCTCTTTGTGGGAGTTTCAAAATCAAAGGACTATGCGAACAAAGCATGTTCTCTGTGCGTGAGAGAGAACATATGTGAAACATTTATCGTATGTGCAGGGAAGAAAGTAGCCTCATAGTTGCCACTGAGTCACATAACAACTCTTTGTGGCTTGTCTCCCACACTAATATTCTTTATAGCCTTTTTTTTAACACAAAGAAAATAAAATTAACAACTAACAAGCTTGGGTATCAAACACCCATAAAGTCCTGTTGCACTAGGGAGCTACATTCCCATAGGGGATTTTCAAACAAAATTGTATACCAACTTGGGAAAGGGACATATTAGCTAACCAATCTGCAACAGAGTTGCCTTCCCTATGGATATGAGAAATCCTAACAGTCCAAGATTGTCTGATAAAAGACTGGGCCCTATTGAACATATTAAAGCAGGGCTTGTGGGGTTTACACCCATTCAGCAGCATGTTCACCAATGTGGAGGAGTCAGCTTCAAGCCACACAAGCCCATGTCCCCTCTTCCAAGCCAGATCCATCCCAATAAAGGCACCCCAAAGTTCCGCCATAAGGGAATTTCCTCTGCCAAGAGTTTTAGAAAATCCCATCAACCACCTTCCATTACTGTCTCTTAGAACACCACCACATCCCATCTTTCTAGATTCCCATTTGCAAGTCTCATTGGTATTGAGTTTAGTCCAACCAAATGGGGGAAGTCGCCACCTAATGTGAATTTCCTGTTTCCAACTAACACTAGCTCCCGCACAGTTGAAGGCCCTATCCGCCATTAATATGTTATCAGCAAAAGCCTTGGCCCAGGAAATCAGACTATCCTGAGATTTGCTACAACCTTTGAAGATTAGGTTGTTCCCCTCCTACTATATGAGCCAACAACTAACCCCCAAAAAAATGCTCCACCTGGTCTACTGAGAAGGGTTATTCTTCCTTTTCAAATTAACACCGAACCAGTCCAAGAAAGAAGAGTTGAAGAATAGATGTTGTTGGTCTCGACTGATTAACTTCAGCCAGAATGCCTGAGTCCAAGAGCAATCCCTAAAGATGTGAATATAGTCCTTAGTATGATAGGAGCAGCGCAGGCACTGATAAAATTCCCCCAAGTGTCTTTTGTTCCTCTCAGCATTGGTTAGGAGATTCTCACCCATAAGAAGCCAAAGGAAAGTTCTAATCCCAATCCCAAGCCAGGTACTAGTTATACTAAGATGTGAAAAAGATTAGGGAGATAGGAGTTTGTCGGCAGATTTGACAGAAAAGGCACCCTCATAAGAAGCATCCCATATAACTCTATCCTCACCATCCACTGGCGAAGGTGGAACTAACCCAACAATCCAAGAGTTTTCACAGAAAGAAACTGGGAACTAGTCTTTATAGCTAAGAGTTATGCAAAGAGAACATGTAGAATCTCGTCAAAAATAGCAAGACTCGTCATAGATTAAGAAATTCAAAGAACGTTTATATAGTCAAGTATGGATGGTGAAGTCACAACCTAACAAGATCGATTATTCATTTGCCTTCTCCTAAAAGCTTAAACTTTTTGAGATAATTTGTTACTTGACATGGTATTAGAGAGAAGAGAACTTAAGGGATATAATAAAATCATTCATTTTTTATTTGTTTAAGATGGTATTTGTAACACGGTCAAGGAAAGTTCATGATAGGGAGACCATCACCAATGGACTAAGCGACCATCTATCATAACAAATGGGCTCGACACTACATTTGTATCCAAAACCTTAAGACGTTAGAGTCATGGATCCATCCACTTGTATGATCCTTAGTTAGTCCATACATAACCAATGTGGACCTCACCACTCATTTGAATTTCCAACTTTCTCTCCTCAAATGAGTCCAAAATCCAATATTGGCTCCCCCTCCCCAAAACACAAATTATTCAAGTATTTATGGGTTTACACCAATAATCAACATTTCATTTTGCAACATGAGCTTCGGGAGATATTAAGTTCGAACTGCACCAACAACCATCTTCAAATACTCACCTAGGTTAAACACATGATTGGCCTAGCCCGAACTTGGCTAACCATTGGCTTCGATACAACTATTAGATAACAGAGGGTGGAGGCCAAAGATGGGAGGCGATCAACAATGGGCTAAGTAAGGAATCAAACAAACAACTAAGTGAGTTTGACACCTCATCTTAAGCAAAAATCTTAAAGCGTTAAGTTTATGGGTTATTTCACATATATGTTCCTTAGTACATTATTAACAAATATGTGACTTAACCATTCATTACTCACTTGAATTTTTAACAATCTCCATCTCAAATACAAAACTCAACCTTAATACGTTCCCTTTCAAGCGGAAGCATATCCAAGTATTAATGGGGTCTTCAACATTAACCAAGAGTGATCAAATCTTAAATCCACTACATGGATCCATAGAGACACAAACTACCAATCTCGGAATACTTGGCCCAACCATACTTATCCTAAATTACTACTCTTTCAAAATGAGAAAAGTTCGAAAAATCTCATGCAGTTTGGTTCATAATCATTTAAACTCAAACTGATTTTTTTTTTTTTTTTGGTAAGCAATATCTAACATAGATAACCGCTTTAGATGGATGGAATTGAATCAGATTTGAATTTAGACTCAAACCGATTAAATGGTGGAAAAAAAAAAACCAATGAAATTGGATTAAATAACTTTTCTCTGCAAAATGAAAAAATAACAACAACTTCACAAATTTTCAAAATAACAAGTATTTTCAAAATAAAATAAAAACTTTAAAAGTGACCCTTATTATCAAATAAAGGAGTACATGATAGACATTAAATACAAATGAACTAAAAAAGCCAAAAAAAAGTAATATAAATATGAACGAGAATATTTGAAAAATGCCAATCACAATATTGGATAGGATATTTTAACAATCAATTAAAGTTATTACCAATTAATTTTACCGTTAGATCGATTATATGGATCTAACAATCATATTTATTTTCATATTTGTATAGTTATGATTTTTAAATTTAATATTTTAAATATGGAGAATCATAACTATACAAAGGTAAAAATAAATATAAAGTATTAAATATGGAAAATCATAACCATATAAATATGGAAATAAATATAACTGTGGGATCAATATAATCGATCTAACGTTGAAATTGATTGATAGTAATTTGATTGATTGTTATAGTAAATGTTGTTAAAATCGAGATCTTAAGTAAAATCGGAAGGGGATTAAAAAATCATAAAATGCAAAATCGTAATGTAAAAAAATCGTAAAAAATCACAAAAACATAAAAGCGTTTGGAATATTAGTAAAATCGTTTTGATGAAGAAAAAAAATCATATAATCGTAATGATAAATCGAGATTTTAACAACAATGGTTACAATATATTTTCCACACAATATTATTGATTTTTTTTTTTTAAAAAAAAACAGTGAAAAAAATAATCAGGTTTCGGAAGGTGGCACCGTACGAGGAAAAGAGATTCTCCGCCTCATGCCTCTGTTTATGTGACCGAATATTATTATTAGAAACAGAGAGAGACAGAGAGAGAGGAGAGGCCATCCCAACCCAACCCAGAATGAGATCTGCGTACTTCATTACCACCGCTTTGTTTTTCTCCATCAATCTCCCCAAGTATGTATCATATTATTTCTATTTTTTCGATTTTTATTTATTTATTTATTTTGTCTGTTTTTCCCCCCAAGCAATAAACATGTCTTTCTTTTTCGGCATGAACTTAGATGGAAATTGCTGATAATGCTATAAAATTTTATTTTTTGACTGACCCTTTTGTTTACAAGAAACATTAAACGATACAGATTGGATCTTCTTTGCAAATTTGGTAGAATTGGAATGTTGCGTATGATAAAGTTTCTTTATCTATGATCTTTTTTTTTTCCTTTTAAATTTTAATCCTTATAGGATCTGGTTATTTCTATCATTGGGTATAAGTAATTAGTCAAATATTACATTTTTGAAAACATATTACTTTGTGGGTTGAAGTTGTTGTTTGGTAGGAAGAATATTGAATTTGATATTTGATACGATGAAGTGACAGTTTTGTTTGCTAAACATCAACGTCTTTCTTTTTTATGTATGCGTGTTAGTGTGTATTAGACATTGCAGAATTCACAATCCTGGTTATGACTGTTGTGGGATTGGAACATTGTTGGTCAATTTGAATTTCATCAACTGCTATTTTACGGTTTCCATTGCTATGATTTTTGAGGTTTCTGTCTTGCGTTTTATCTACATTGTTATTCTTGTCAGGTAGTGACCCAAATGTAGATCCTTTTAGGTTCTCTACTGACAGTTTCGTTACTTTGTAACTTGCACTTGGAACTAGAGTGGGATTGGCAACATTGTTGATTTGATTGTATTTGATCTATGAATTAACATGTTGATGTACTTGGTCTATTAATACTGCTTACCTGAATTGTTTCCATCCCTATATTGAAGTTGTGGAATTGATTGTATTTTGGCATGTTGCCTCATGATTTGCAGGAATTTGTGAACTCTGCAGCTTTAAATACAGATAAACAAACAAACCAGCTGTAGAGGAGAATGGCAGAATCAATATCTAGCTTTTGGGGTCCAGTAACATCAACTATAGAGTGTTGTGAAGAAAATTATGCATATTCTTCTTATATTGCAGAATTTTATAACACAATATCCAACATTCCAACCATTCTTTTGGCTCTGATTGGTCTTATAAATGCTGTTATACAACGGTTTGAGAAAAGATTTAGTGTTCTTCACGTATCAAATATGACACTTGCCATTGGAAGCATGTTGTACCATGCCACGCTACAACATGTGTAAGTACTGATCTCAATCACTTTTTGCAGTAAAAATGTGGTGGTTTTTCGTATTATTTTTGAGTTACTTTGCATGTTACAAAATGAGTTTGGCGTTTTATACAAATATTTGATGAATATTGAAGAATTCAGATAAAAGGTGTTTGCAAGGGTAAATCATACATTAGCCTCGTGTTGTCACATATCTTGGTTCAGTTGTGTTTCATATTTATCAATAATTAACTGTGCTTTCTCTGACCTTACAAAGATCACATTTATATATATTCTATCTAATGCAATCAAGGTATATCATGATATATGCAAGCCACTCTGCATTTGAATTAGGGGGCTAATTTTTATGTCATTGCATCCCTTTTTTATGTCCTTATATTTGTGTGTTTTCATATGTTAGACAACATTTTACACCTTATATTTGCCACTTGGTGGAAGGTTTTGCTTTTCAAGTGGGTTAGAGAGATCCATATGATATTGTGGCTATAAAACAACTGTATATTTATTTTATGTTTGAGTGTTGATTGTGGAACCATTTCGGTACTAAGATCTAGTTTCCAATTTCCATCATGAGAGTTGGAGATTTTTATTTGTATGCATTAGTATTATATTCGACAGTAGCATGCATAATTAGTTTCTTAATTTAGTTTTTGATGAAAAAAAGGTTTGAAATTTATAATTTAGTCTTAAATGGATGACTGCTCCCGTAGAATTAATCCTCTTCTGTAACCTTTTTCCTTTGTTGAAGTTCCTAAGTGTGTGTCCTCTGTAGGAAGGGTAGTTTGATTATGAAGTTTGTCAAGCTTTCTTTTTTATATAAAAAAAAAAAAAATTAGTTTGTGAATCAATAGAAATTTGTTTTGGATGACTATTTATTCTTGAGAATTTGCACTTGAATTTAGGCAACAGCAGAGCGATGAAACTCCAATGGTATGGGAGATGCTACTGTACATGTACATCCTCTACTCTCCGGATTGGCATTACCGCAGCACAATGCCCATCTTCCTATTTTTGTATGGTGCTGTTTTTGCCATTGTTCATTCAATAGTCCGTTTTGGAATTGGCTTCAAAGTCCATTATGCCATTCTCTGTCTTCTCTGCATTCCAAGAATGTACAAGTATTACATTTATACTGAAGATGTGTCTGCCAAGAGGCTCGCTAAGCTATATGTAGCCACCCTTCTATTAGGAAGTTTGTTTTGGCTATGTGATCGTGTTTTCTGCAAGGAGATATCCACTTGGCTAATTAATCCACAGGGTCATGCTCTATGGCATGTCTTCATGGGTCTCAATTCCTACTTTGCAAACACGTTCTTGATGTTTTGCCGTGCTCAGCAGCGTGGGTGGTCTCCAAAAGTTGTTCGTTTAATGGGTGTTTTGCCCTATGTCAAGATTGAGAAACCAAAAAGGCAGTAAAGATGAAAGTTTCTGTCATGATACATCTTGGAAAAGAGTAGTTAGCCGACCATGTTTTGTCCTCTGTTTTTTTTTTTTCAATTTTTTTTTCTGGTTTAGATTGGTTTAAATGATGATTGATTATTTACATATTTTGTAGACGTAGGACATGTACCATATTTAATGCCACTCTGTGGATGCTTTCTTGAGCCTGGACATTTCTTAGCTTTAAAATTGCTATGACAACCAAAAGTTTTGCAGTACTAGTTTTTGTTTGATTTTTTTTTTTAGTAAATAGTTTTTGTTGGATTTTCAGTTATGTAATCCTTTCTAGGTGAGTTTGAGTATATTACGAACTTTTATATGTGGAGCTTTAAACGTCAAACTCAGTTTGTTGTTGCTTTCACTGAGGAATTTTCCTTCTGAAAGTAGGTAGTTTTGGAATCTGATGGTATTTATGAACCCGTAACTTTTGGCTCGAGTCACTTTGTTCGATGCTTTTGAAAGCTAGTTAGGAATTATGTTTTATGCAATTGAATGTGTAGATGTTAATATTCATTTACACCGGAGTAATAACTTTTTTTATGGGTGATTAGATTAGTTTATCTTTCACTCGTTCAAAAGCTTTGATCAAAAGCACTCTTGGGCATTTTTATTATAATTTTTAAAACCAAAATAAGCTAATCCAAATAAGTAAGTAATTTTTTGGCTTCTGTTTTAAGTTCAGTGTGTCAAATTGGATAAGTAATGCTTTATCCCATGCGAAACCCTACTATTCATAAATTACGGAGGCTTCTTATCCAATTGTAAAATAGAGGTAATGAAGCCACGAACATAGAAAGCCAAATATGCGGAAAAAGAACTACAATAATCTATACACCTGAGAAGGGGCAAGAGGCTTGCCAAAATCATAGCAACTGCCGTAAAATCAGAGGGTACCACGTAAAGCGAAAGTAATTTGTACCCTATCATGTAATTTGTATTCTACGTTTCCCTCCACAATATTTGCAACATGTGATAGTAGAATAAGCTTTATTGTTTATTGTAATAGACCAGATTATTAAACGTGATTCGAATTACAGTTTGGGTAATTGAAAAATGTGAGACGCTCCAGCCAAGGAATTGAATAAAACACATGCGTTCATTTCCTGCTATTGACCATGTGAATATTCTAAAGGTCATGAGTGGGCGATGACTGTTCAAGCAAAGCCATCATCAATAAAGTATTTAAGAACAAGTACAAGATAAACTGCGAATGAAATATTAACGGTCAAGATACACTATACACATCTTGACAGCTTCCTGAACCTTTGATTCGTTTCACTCAAAAGATAGAACACACAATGTACAAAGTATCTTTTCCCTTCCCTTTGCAAGTGAAGGCATACAATTGAAGGTTAGAGGACGAATACACCTTGCATGGATCTAAGACTGCCTTTGAATCCCCTGTTGCAACATCTCCCCAAGCCTCCTATATAGAGCTTGTTGTTCATCGAATGTTAGGTTCATCAATATCTGAAGCGACAAACGGTTGCACCATAAATAAAACAATTTTCAAAAATATTAATGAATAGAAATACAAATTAACATACATAATGAAATAAAATAATACCTGGTCCAAAATCGTATCAACTGAGAAACTTTGAGTTACAATGAATGACTGATGATATATATACGCAAAGACAGCCATAACCATCTACATCAGGAAAAATTAATCAAATCTCGACTGATTTAGAAATCGAAGCAAGATACTATGATGGTTTTTAACTCGGTCACAGCGTCAAATGAACAGGCCTAACATTACAGACAATGTACAGGCAGCAGCCTGTAAAGGAGGAGGAAACTGGGAAAGTTTAAAAGTAGTTAGAGTGGAAGGAGGGGGAGGGGCAAAGTTCAATCTGTATACAACTATATCTACACTATGGCATCAAAAATACAAGTGGATGAACGTACATTCACATAAAATACCTCAAACCTCCTTCAATGATATTAAATCATACCTTATTCTAGACAGTATGCATCTGACATCCATACTCACTAGACTGGACCACCAAAACTTCTACCAAATTGCACTTGTTCATTTGTCAGTGAAGATCCTTTTTTTGGAGAGTACATTGAAGATCCTTTGGATGTTTTCGACTAGACACTTGAATTAAGTGAATATAAAATTTCCATTCTATAATGTACACGATCACCTTGCTTTAAGATCATTTTTTTCTTATGAGATCCTTTATCTTTCTTTTTACTTTTTTGAGGGTAGGGCAAAGATGTGGGAGAGAAAACCATGGTTTTGAATCTAGTTTATGTACTATGATGATTAAAAGTTTCCTATATAAAAAAAAAAATCCAAGTATATAGAATTTTCAAGTATTCAAATTTCACCATTTAAAATAAATATGTACATTTAAACATCAAGAGAATCTACCTGGCAGTCCATTCTGTCGGTAATTCCACCGTGTCCTGGAATACTATCACCAAAATCCTGCAAAAATGGGGCAAGCAACCAAATCTGTTTATACCTCTGACCTAAATGGATGATATTTGCTCATTTCCTCATTACAATAACAGAAGTACTGAGAGCAAACCTTTATTTTAAAAGCCCTTTTGAAACCACTAGCAAAGAAGCCTCCGAAAGGTGCAATAATTGAAGCAAACAAACCAAGACATAAAGCATGCCATTGTACCGGTAGGATAGACATCTCTTTCCAAGGAAACTGCATAGGACAAGATAGTGTCACAGATAACGTTTTTAAGATATTCCAGGAATCTGGATTGGCATCTCATGATTACAGTATGGTCATATTTTATAAGCTGAACTGGAATGTGGCAAAAAAAATCTAAGCTATAGTGGTTAGTAGAAACTTTGGCTTTCCAATCCTATGTTGAATATGAGATGCTTTCGTTAATGGCAATTTATCTAAGAAGAATCTAAGTTACAATGAATGGTTCAAATTTGACTTTCTTTACATTCATGATAAAATTGACCGAGTCATTGACTGGGCCGACTTGAGTCTGCGTCATTGACTGAGATGATTAAAGCCATTAACTGAGATGTGAGAATCTTTGACCCAACCATTTTGGAGCTGATCTGTGCCATTTTTCAGCCTGATTCAGTTTCACATTCAATATGTTTTTCAAGTTTTTTGAGTCTCTCAGGTCAAATTTGAGGTGTCCAAATTGTGTTTTTTGGTGATTTTGGATTAGTGCACTCATTGGATGGGCTCACCATAGACTTGGCCACACCCACACAAGCAAACACTCTAAAGAAGATATTTTGTAGGTTAAAGGATTAAAAATTCAGCGGAACGATAAGTGCTTACCCAGTGAGGAACCCATCCTAATAAGGAGTAAGATTCTGGCTTAAACAGTGGACCAGGATCACAATGAAGCCAACCAGTTGACAAATCCTGCACGTTATTCCCACAGAGACGTGAGCATAAGTCACTTGGTTGTTGAATCATGCCTTATAATATATCAATTAGTTATTGTATATTACAGAGCTACCTTCCTTGGACATGTTAGCCACTGAGAATGACCCATGACGTCAGCGAGCTACAAAAAAGTTTTGTACAATGATATTAACATCCAGTTCAGAATAGTTTGAGTGATGTATATAAACTTAATCAAAAACTTAATCGCCAGAGATCTGATCAAGCTTTCTCAGAGTTTATTTAGGCTGTTGCAATCATTCAATAATGCTAAAATAACAAGAATATAGACATCACAAATGATTCTGGTTGAATGACAAGCGCCACTCCCACCACCCAAAAAAAAGAAAAAAGAAAAAAGGAAAAAAAGAAAACCCTTTCCAAGTGTTGCATCTTTATTAACACTTGAAAAGGAAGATTGTATTATTTAATTGCGTAAATAATTGTACAAGAGCTCTCTATTTAAAAAGAATGAATGACCTAATGGGCTAAGCCCAAAGAAGCTTCTAGAGTAAGCTAAATAATAAAGGGAATAACATCTATTTATTTAACGAGGCTTGCACAGTATTCATCTTTGCAACTGGAGCAAAAGTTTCTTCATGCTCAATACCATAGGTCTGAGTGTGACCCTTGGCTACTAACCGAACCTTATATCTCTCAAGAGTACCATCCAAATTGTACTTTAGGGCAAAAACTCATATGCACCTTACTGTTTTCTTTCCATTGGGTTTATCAACAACCTCCCATGTTTTATTCTTCTCTAAGGCATTCATCTCATCTTAAAGACCTGAACACAATTCTCATCTTTTAATGCTTTGTGCACTGATTTTGGGATGGAAATGGAATCTAGTGCTAACATAAAGCTTTTGTGCTGCATAGAAAGGTTAGTGAAAGAAACAAATTGAGAGATAGGGTGTTGGGTGCAAGATCTTTTTCTTTTTCTTAAGGCAATGGGTAAGTCATCAGAGACACTGGGTAAATTTCCAGAATCAATGGGTAGTAAGTCATCAGAGGCAATAATATTATGTTCATAAACAAGAGATTCAGGACTTACCAATGATTCAGATGATTGAGTTTGCTGGTAAAGCAGTATGGGTTGTTTCCTCTTTTAATATACCAATTCAGGTGTCAAAATCTTTCGTATCTCAGGTGTATTTGAAGGTTCTGACACACCAAAAGTAGACACAAGAGGGAGAGGAGTAGGAATAGACAAGGACGACCCAAACTCAAAGAAGGAAGGAGATGAGTCTTACGAAGAACTACTCTCCCCCTGAAGATGAGGACCCGGGAAAAGGACTCAGATTCATGAAAGATGACATCCATAGAAACGAAAAGATTTCAACTTGGAGAATGATAACACGTGTAGCCTTTTTTATCAGGGTCATAACCAAGGAAGACACACTTAAGAGCCCTAGGATCCAATCATGGACAAAGGCAACACGCCCAAATATTCTTGGTTGAAGACACTAAAAAATGGAAACAGAAGGAAAGAAGAAAGTCATAGAATAAATAGGACGGGTATTGTTAAGGACCCGTGAAAGTAAGTGTTTGATCAAAAAAGCTGCAACTAACATGACTTCCCCCCAATAAGAACTAGGAACAGAGGTCTGGAAAAGTAATTCTCTAGCGACTTCAAGGAGGTGACAATTTTTTCTTTCAGCAACCCCATTTTGTTGAGGGGTATCAACACATGTAAGCTTATGAATCATACCTTTGTCTAAAATGAATTGCGACAGCCGTTGGTTGACGTACTCAGTACCATTATCAGATCTCAATCTTTTAATATTTTTACTAAGCTGAGTCTCGACCATGTGATAAAATCGGATAAATATCTTCGATACTTCAGACTTGTCTTGCATCAAAAATATCAATGCCACCCAAGTACAATCATCAATAAAAGAAACAAATCACTTTGCACTTTAGAAGGACCCAAACATCAGAATGAATAAGAGAAAAAGGTTCAATGCTTTTGATAGCACTAAAAGAAGAAGACAATCGATAGTGTTTTGCAAATTTACAAACATCGCAATTGAAGGTCACAACTGACTGATTTAGAAGAAAAGAAGGAAACATTAACTTCAATAGACTAAATGATGGGTGCCCCAAACGCTTGTGATGGAGCCAAATTATAGATTATGCAGTAGAAGGATGACGTGTCATCAATAGCTGATTTTTTGTATCATTTGTAGCATGCTGTGGAAGGAGATAATACAACCCATCCTCCTGCTCAGCAACTCCAATTGTCTTCCCTCTAGTGAGATCCTGAATAACACAATGAGAAGGGAAAAAGGTGATAGAACAATTCAAATCAGTTGCAAGCTTATGAGTGGAGATAAGATTACTGGAAAGTTGAGGAACATAAAGAACATTTTTAAGAAACAAGGAAGGTTGAATTTGAATGTTACCGGAACCAATAACAGGATCCATCGGCTACGGCTATAGTATAGTCACCAATAGTAGGATGATAAGAAAGAAAAGACTTAGCAAGACAAGTCATATGATCAGTTGCACCAAAATCCAAAATCCATGAGGTTTTAAAATCAGTGCAAGAAACAAGAAGAGATGTAGAACGTGTGTTCTTACCAGAAATGGTCAGAGAACTGTCAGATGGCTTATGCAAAGTATCAATAGCGGCCGTAAGCTACTCCAACTCCTCTTGCCGAATATTCCCATATGGAGTAGCATTATCACACTTCCCATGAAGACAAAAACACATGTCTTTTGTGTGTCCAGCACTTTTACAATAGATGCACCAACGTCCCATGGACAAAAAAATATCAAAGACAACAACACAAAAGTAGTAGGTAATTACCAGTGAAGTCACAAAAGTCTCCGGAGAGCCCAAACAGCAAAACAACTTCAGGTTTGAGTCCAAACAGAAGCGACAGGGTCAAATCTGTCCGAAAAAGATCCAAAAAGCAAAAAAAGACAACTTTTTAGGGAAAAAAAACAAAGGCGCACTAGCCAAACAGTATCTAATCCCCAAAACAACCACAGGTCCAGAAAGTAGAAGTCAAGGCGATCCAAACGACGGTGACCCAAGGCAGAATCACAGCTCCACCCACCGGTGAGAGTGACGGCGCATGAGGCCCACGCACAGAGAAGGAAGGGGGTGTGGGCGGTCTGGAGAAGGCGACGGTGTCAGTGGGTGGTCGGAGGTGAAAAATGGCTGAAAAAGTGGGCAGCCAGAAACTGCAGGTGTGGTTGAGGAGTTTTCAGGGTGTTAGGGGCTTCGGTTGGCCACGATACCACCATAGAATGAAAGATCTCGAAAAAACAAGTCAAACAATGGTCTTCTCGGCCCGAAAGGTCCCCGGAAAATTTTTTCAACTGCGGCTTGTGGCGGGGAGGAGATCGGAAAAGGAAAAAAGGGTTCCGCATTAAAGGCAGCAATCGCGGAAGCAAGGCCCTCAGAGTCAAGAGCTTTGATACCAACTTCTAAAGGAAGATTGTCTTGTTTAATTGCGTAAATAACTGTACAAGAGCTCTCTTATTTAAAGAGACTAGATGACCTAATGGGCTAAGCCCAAAGAAGCTTCTAGAGTAATCTAAATAATAAAATACTAATCTAAATAATACAATATTATTTACAACATTAACAAATTGAAATGAAAACACTTTCTAACTGTTGCATCTTGATTAACAAATTGAAATTATGCTCACCATAAATGCAGAGATGATGGTTGTAACGGATGCCCCAATAAAACCCTCCCAAGTTTTCTTCGGAGATAACTTAATCAAAGGGGTTCTTCCAAAGAAGAAACCAAAGAAATAAGCAGCAATGTCATTAATGACAATAAGTGTTACTGGAAGAAGAAACCTGTACAGAAAGTCCAAGTGTTACAGAAAACAAGCAAAGCATTAACATCAATTCAATTGAAAAGCAATGATGCAGTGACATGTCTTACTCATAAAAAAGCAACGGTGGCATATTAAATATATGGACAAAATGATTCAGTGAAAGCTATATTCATCATTAAAAAAAACACTTTAAATCTAAGCAGTTCAAGATGATGCCATTGTCAACAGTAAACAATACAAGTTTTATTGAGAAGAATAAATTTAAGGGACAAGATCATTAGACACCATATTTGAACCATTGATTTTTGCCAATCTAATGGCTGTAATTTATTGGGTTGCACCTATTAATTAATTATTAATTCTCAATAAATTACCATTGTCAAATTGACGGAAATTAACGATTCAAATTGGGTGTCAAATGATCCTACCCCTAAATTTAATACCTTCAACAATCAACCCAAGCAAAATTCAATGGGAAAAAAAATTGACGTGTGAATGGGGGTTAAAGTGATATTAAATACGAACTCTATTCAATTAAAAGGCAAAGGGCAAACCCCGGTGCAACCCTGACTTTGCAAGGATTGGGACGAGGGTTGATTATATGCACCCTTACCCATGCATTTTTGCAAAGAGGCTATTTACCAGACTCAAACTTGTGACCTTCCGATCACAAAAGAGCAATTTTATTGCTATTCCAAGATTTGCCCTCAAAACTCTTCAAACAACATATGATAAAAAATTAACAAATAGCTATCGAAATATAAGCTTTAACATATTGCAAGAGCCTTTAACTTACAAAGTTCAATTCGCTTCATTATATGCCTCACTATAACCCCAATTGTTGGATAGAAATGCATTTTTCTTGGCAATAAATACACACAAACTGTAGGACTATGGGGATGGCTTGAAATACTTGACTGCTTAAGCGAAAATCTCTGGTAATATGATTACTTACACAATTGTCACTTGTACAATGATTGATACAGAGAAAAAATTTCCAGGACAATTTGATACAAGCAGTAACAATATGCAACTACAACTATTACGGCTTTGGATTCTTGAAAGGTGAGAATTACAGTAATGGGGTTTAGGAAGAAGGAAAGAAAGGGAAAATTACAGAAAAGAATGGAATTGATTACGAAGAAACAATGAAAGTTCATAAGAGGTAATCCTCTTACAAGGGAATTCTCCCTTGTACTAGGCAAAGGGGTTACAACAGAATAGCCAAAATATATCTATCAATAGGGTGTGTCTACCTTATATACAGCTATCTAGGCTTCCTTATAAGCCTATGACCATCTAACTACCTAACTAACAAGTCTAACTGCCTATACAGCAGTTACTATCTAGGCTTCCTCCGAGAATATACCAAGCTTATATATTGGAACAGCAACCCTATACCTGCATATACTTATGCTTATATATTGGTATATCCATTTAAATGCATATAGATCTTCAACCTCCAAGTCCAATATATTCATCAGATTAGTTTTTCAAACAAACTCGCGACGGTGGTGCTAAAGATAGAGCAATACACATACAACAAATCAGGACATAAAGATATGAACTCAAACCTCCCACCTCATTTCTTTAACTGTTCACATTGGTAATTTAGCTTATGCAAATGGAAGCTCTGAGAGCCCATCAAGTTGTTTTAAAATTTGCATAATTGAAAGAGCAATACATTTTAAAATTCAGTTCCCTTCTCTCTTAAAAGTTGGCAAGTAATCCTGCTTTTACTTTTTAAAATGACAGCTTTATTGATTCTCCAATAGTCCTCTATGATGAGAATATAATCATTTGGTAACCTCCCATGCAGTAAAAAAATTTCCACTCATGGCTTTATCCCTAATCTTTTTTCCATCTTTCGTCTCCTAAGGCCTCAGTTCCACCATTTGGGCAAGACCTGATAATATCCTGTGTGTTCAGCCAATAATACAGGCCATGTTTTAAGACCTTGGACAAAATAGGTAATTTGTTCAACCATTCTTTAAGGGGATTATTATGGTAACGAAGAGCTGTCAAATAACATTAAAGAGTCTAGCCTTAAAAGTAGTCCACATGAATGAGGAACAGCATCATGAAGTGTGATATCATGCAAAAGAGAACCCTCAAAAGATAGCCAAGAAATATTTTTAGCGTAGTTGTTAAAAAATCATTATTTCCTTTTACAGGTCATATTACCAGAAAATCCCTTCAAAAATGCTTGCAACAGTGAAGGAGGACTGTGTAAATACAACAATCAGAATCATATGTGTCCAAGCATACTGGCCAAACTGGTACTTGTACATCTTCTTCTTCAATGTGAGTATAAACCACATAAATCCTGAGCCCAATGAATATAAGGGAATATAACCAAAGTATTAGTATCATCATAATAGTGAAAAATAGCCAGTAAGATCACAATTGTAAAAACAACTAGCATGAAATTTGTCAGGAATCTGGTAGAGACATTGTACAAGCATTGGCCAATGAACATTAAAAAAAAAAGGACAAAATTGATATGCATGAGTCACCTGCAATGTACAGAGAGTAGCAGATAACCATATGATACTTTATAAGACTGCTCACTAGCCGATACAAAACCATGTCTGAAGTTACTGTGTTAACCAGGCGTTGACTCAGAATTCGTCCATAAACAAATAACATTGCAGTGAAGAAAAAATGCCTGAAATGGTAAACGCCAATGAAAAATGACAAGTTAGTACATAATTTTATTTTTTTTAGAAAATGTTTCTGGCCGTTTGGTTCATAGATTATCTTGCAAAGAACAGATTGCACTAGTGTGAGGGCAATGAATTTGTGATAGATACCAATTTAATAGCCTAAATCCTGGAAGCTGCCTATCTTCATGTGATCTCCTGAGTAGAACGAAAAGCTCTCTTGCCATGAAGATTTGGATAACAACAACCAATGCTGTAATATAGAGGTGACCCAAATAGATGACCAACGCAAAGCCGCCAATCATCCAAATGGATGAATATGCACGAATTAACATAGACTTGTATTTGCTTTGGTCATTAACAAGTAACTGGCTTCCATTTGCTTTGCTATCTTCCAGAATAACCTGAGATGAAGAAATTATAAAATAAATCACTTTCAAATAGTATACAGAAACTTTTCCAGAAAATTACTGCTAGGATTCAGTTCCCATATCATTGTACTTATTACATCAAATTCATCTATGGAGACAACAGCATCAAGAAGGAACCTAATCATAAAAAAAAAGAGACAAACTTACATATAAAAAATGATAAGGAAAAAAAGAATTCGACCTTGCTTCCAATTATTGCTTTCCATAATCAGATACATTTGACAATTTTTCATGTTCTCTTCAAATTTTAGGATCACTCATAGTGTAGGCTTAATCAATTTCAACATGAAAGGCACTAATACAAAAATATATATATATATGTGTGTAAAAACAAAAAGTGATTTAAAGTGAGAAGTCAAACTTTAAAGATTTTACCTCATTTGAGCGTTTTCGGTGCCTCATACGCCCACTTGTTGATGGGGCAATGGTAGTGGTATCCTTCTGCATAGCTCTTCAAACAGATTTCACCCTATCCAAAGACGATGTAAAAAGCATATGTATAGCCAGAAAGTAGACACCTGCAAAATAAATGACATGAAATATACTCCTGTGTACATATGAAGCTTAATCAATGCACTTATTACCTAGGATCAGATTTGCAAACCTTGCTGGCAAGAATCCAGTTACATTAGTTCCGATTACATAGCAAAAACTCAAAGAAAAAAAGGTCAAATCAAATGGCATATATTCTGGTAACTAAGTCCACATGAATGTTAAACAGGGAAGGTTAGCTAAGCAAACTCAGCAAGTGAAGTCATATCTTTTCTTTTTAAATCTAATCCAGTAGATATCTAGATCCTTCACTATAACTATAGTACCCACAGCTGTCCTATTTACTCATTTCAGTGAGTCTCATTCTCTGGTTGTAATCATCACCATCTTCTTCTTTTACACTAAGAAAAACACATTATCTTATCATACAGCCAAGGATTTCAGCTATTTTCCATTATTTTAGCCATTACTGACCCCATCCCTATTCCCTATTATTGACCAACTATTTTATTTGTTGTGAAGATGTACAAATACTGAATTTCATTTAGAACAATTTTCTAAATAAGACTAGTCATCCGCTTTATCAACCAAATATATGATATCCTACTTCCAGAATTATAAAACATAATCTAAGGCATCATCAAACACAGAAAACTTCATCAAAACTTTTTTGTTTAAACTCCATCAAATCTATTAATGCATGAGTCATGACAAAATACAAATTTAGAGGCACATTTGAAGAGAGGAGTAGAAGGTAGTTGGCTACTGGTATTACCCAGGGGCACTCCCTCACAAATTATATGTAAACGTAACCATCACATGTTATAAGAGTAAAATCAGTAATTAATGCCAAACCCAAACGCAAACCCTAACATCCCCCCCACCCCTGGGTGTTGTCTTCAAGTTGTAGAACTTCCAAATTTTGAGGAGTGCCACATTTTCAACAACTATTGATCCCTAATTAGATAGTCCACTATCCATTCAATAAAACCCTATCTTACATAACCTTCTTTCTTTCCAAATAAACAAACAGACATTTTTATTACACCTGCATTACTACTCCACACGCTTGAATTCCTATAAAGTCAATACATCCCACACCCTATGCATCACTCCTCTGCCTTCCACACAATCGCAAATTCAACAAAGCCAAAGCATGCAAAGATTTTACACAAAATACAAATATGTACAGGTAAAATTTCCTCTATTTTTTATTTATTTTTTTAAAAAGCAGAAGGCGGAACTTTCCAGTTACGAATCTCGTAGATGAAAGGACATTCAGATTCAAAATCCGAAACGGTTCCTCCAAGTTAAATCCATATCTGAGCAAAATATACTTGAAAGCATAGAAACTGCAAATAAACAGTAGATGGATATATATATATATGTGTGTGTGTGTGTGTGTGTGTGTGTGTATGAGGGAGAGGGAGACTGAGATGGTAAAACGCACGAAACCTGGTTTGGTTCTGATTATGCTAAGCGACGAAGAAAACGGTGTGAGAGAGAGACAGCGAAATGAAGAAGAAGATGAAGAGGCGAATGCAAAGAATAGCAATAGAGGGTGAGAAGAGAAGAGAAGAGTACAGAAGAAAGAGACCACACCTAAACGGTGAAGCCTGTTTAGTTAATAGAAATTCTTCTTTGCAACACAGGACTTGGAGAAGAGACTCATTATTGTGACCGAGAGACTCTTATTTTATTTTATTTAGAAAAAAGTATTCGTTATATTAAATGATATAAGATTATGTCATTTTAAGAAAGATAGACATAATATAAATTTTTTTATTTAAAATTTAAATTAAAAAAATCCACCTACTTTCTTCCCCTAATTTTCATTCTTTGTATCTATCTCTCTCCTAAAATAACATAACTTATGTTATTTTATATGACAAATATCAAACTCTTTTATTTATTATATTATATTTATGAGAATAAAATGTTTTTGTCATTTTAAAGAACATATGAAATTATGTTATGTTAAATGACATAAAAAAATACAAATTGCAATCATAAAAGTGCCAGAGGTTTATTTTTTAATTTAAGTTTTAAATAAAAAATATTAATTTCAATTAAAATGATCGGACAAACATTTTTCTCATATTTGAATAATATTTTTTTTTTTTAATTATTTTATTTTTCTGGTTCAGTTTCGCTTGCCGCATAAAGAGAATCTTTTCTAGAATTACAAGTGGGGTCAAATTGGGAAATTCAGGGTTGAGAAACGCTTGACGCTCCCTTTCTTTTACACTTCAAAAATGACCAGAGCCTTAAGAAATATGTCGAATTGTTAAAAGTTAAATCTCTATGCTTGATAAAATTTTCATTTCCTTTCAAGCGGGTGAAGCATAAGATAACATCAAAGAAACATCTTTTTTACATTATTGGGTTGCCCGTCAATCATTTTCCCACTTCAAGATTAGGAAACTTCAAATCAAATTATTCCAAAAAGGAAAATGCGATATGATCAGGTTTGAGATTTTGGCACGATAAAAAAAATGTGGTACGAAAGATATTGCACATGTGGAATTCATGATTGAAAAACGACACATAAAAAAGAGCACGGAATTGGAAGCCAACTAAGGAAATTTCACATTCTATGCTCTATGGTTAAGTAACTAAATACTGTTGATTCGAATGAATTGTCGAGTGTGTAAGTGACACCATTTTTCATCTTGGGAAGGATTACTGAGCTGCCCTCCAAAGAAACAAGCATATTAATATAAGAGTTTTATTAATCTTATGTCAAAAGAAATAAGTTATCTCATGTTATAAAAACAAATTTGTGGGCTTCATCATCTGAAAAAAAAAAAATGACGAAGGGTGTGTAAAAGAGAAAGTTATCACATATAGCGTAAGAATAATTTTTTCCTTAAAATATACCTACCAATTTATAAACAAAAGCCTGCTGACTGCAGAGAGTGACAATACAAAAGACAGTAAGGTCTAACTGAACACACACAACCCCACACTAGCAGAGACTTTTAATAGCATTTTAGTAATAACTTTTTTTGTTTAGTGTCTATTTTTTAACATTTAGAAATGTTTCCAATTTGTTTGCGAGTGGAAATTATTCGAATCTGGAAAAGCAAAGGTTCATTTCTTAGCCATAGGGATAGAGAGACATTTAATGTTGCAGTAACGAATCTAGAAAGGTAGATGCTTTGCTCTTCGTTGGTCCATTATCAAAATGCTTCACTCCAAAGGTTTCGGCACTATTGGGCTGCAGTATCTTAGTTTCTGTTTGAATAATGCTGATAAGAATGAGATCTCTCAATAAATATATATATATATATATATATATATATATATATATATATATATATAGGGTTTTATATTTTTCATTTAACATGAGAATTGAATTCTCACGTTGTAGAGACAAAAAACATGTGGGACCCGTATGTAAGAAAAAATTATATGTAGGACCCACGTTGACACAGAAATCGAAGGGTGTGTAAGAAAATTCAAATTATAATGTAAAATGAGAATTATAAAACCCATATATATATATATATATGACAAATTGGAAAAGACTTCAGTTTTATGTTGTAATCACAACTCATCTGCTGTGAAGTGTAGATTCAACAAAAACTTCAAATATCTTAATTAAATTTTGACATGGTGTTTCAATTATATTATATACAAAATTATAATATAGTTGACAAAGGCAGCATGTGCAAGAGTGGGTATATTAAATCATGTCGCTTACATCTTATAATATGTTTTAAAAAGATGCTTGTCTAAAAGTTTCTCATAGGACTTAAACTACATAAATTAGTTATGCAAACATTGTTAGGGAATTTCAAAAGATGAAAGATTTTCACTATGCAAATCGCCCGAGCCTATACAACTTGCTAGAGTCACGCAGCAAAAACAGAGCATTTTTTCAGAGTGATGATATTATTATAAGTATGTACTCTTGAGAATACATAATTATAATATTAAAATTATTTTTTTCTTTTTCTATATCAGTCAACAAATTTTTAGCACAAAAAAATAACTTTAATATAATAACTATGTATTATCCAAAATATATAATTATAATAGTATTGTCGCACTAAGTATTCATTGTGTAGCACTAAAAAATTTCCCTGAAAAAAACAGCATGACATTTGACTATGCTAGATTCACAAGACAAGTGGACATCATCAACATGTAAGAACTATTTTTAGTGTAATAAGTATTTTGCTTAAATTTATGTCAATTAAAATAATAAGTTTTTCTTATGTTTGAGTAAGAATAAAAAGCCTTATACCGAATATTGATAGTTATTTTATTTGTATTTAACGGCTCCCATATCTTAATAAAGGAATAAGATCTGTCTACAAAATTTTTTTTTGCAAATTACACTAAGTACGACCGATCGTACACTGAATGATTAAAGTATGACCGGTCGTACTTAGTGTAGTTTGTAAGAACTTGTAAACAAAAAAGTTGGTAAATATAACTTGTCCCCTTAATAAATCAAAGTTGTTAAATACAAATATGATCAACAGTTAATATTAAAAGTGTAACTTATACTAATGTAAAATGATCTCGATCCATTAAAAAATACAAACAAATATGCATAATTAATTCTAAAAGATATATTGCCAACTACCTAAAAGTATATTTTGATCTATGAGTTTTATCCAGCACTGCCAAATAATGACAACAAAAATTCTCAACTGAATTTCAGTCTAGGAAGCACGGAGGCAAAAATAATATTCAGTCGAACTTCGTGAAGATCCATTTCTTTGTCTTAGCCTCACCGTCTCATAATCCCATTTTATAACCTCTAAAAGATATTAAAAATCTCATTGATCTTATTTTTGTTTCTTCATACCTTTTCCTTTTTCAGATATTTATTTCTTCTAATTTCTCAATTCTCATATTGGGTGCTAATATGCCATGCACTCTTTGGCATTCAACCTCAGAGCAAAATCCCAAATCAACTAGTGACTGGAAACATTATGTTGGATATATTAGTAATATAATCTAATAATATGTTCACGTATAAACTCAATAGGTGAAAGTATGGTTATTTAGGTCAATATGGGCTAGAGCTCAGTAGCTTGCATTATATCTAGAGTTTCCTAAGCTGGAGGTAACATTGTTGAGCATTCCAAACTTGACGTCTCTTGGTGTAATACTTCAAGCACCTCTAAACTCTTGTCTCTCAAACTCATAACCTCCAACACATTACTCTTGTAATATTGAAAATTTGGTAACATCACTTTATGAAAGTGTGAAAAAAAATTAATTCATTTAACTGCATTTACTCTAGCTACTTTTATGATTAATGTCACATGACTCTTATTCTAATTTAAGTAAATGGGTACCTACAGCAGCACTGAAAATATGCTTCTAGTGCCAGATATGGTAGGACAAGTGCAAGGGCCAAGGACAATGGGACAGGGTCATCGATCGTTCATGAAGGTCATTAAACCCAACTGTTTAAAGATATAGAACCGAAAAAAGGTCCAAAGAAACAAGACCAATAATTGCAAGTATGGGATTATTGGTTGAATTCAAGGAGTAACGCATGCTGGTAGATGGCCTGACTTGCAGCTAGGTTATAGTCTAACTCTCTTTTTTTGGCACAGTCTAACTTCTCTCTGTTGGAAAATGTTTACCCTCCCCTTTGTATGTAACATGTTGACTACATACATAGTGAAGATGTTGAGAACCCCACACCAGAATGGTTTGTAATTGTAATGCTCAATGGTCGCTTTCAACACCAAAGAAGATGGTGCAAGAATCAACTATAAAGCTACAACTGTAAAGATTAGTTATAAACCTTTTATTTCTTTCTGCCATCCCTAAGTGTTTTATTTGTGGCCTAAGTGTAATCTTCTAGGATGCTCCTTTTAGATAAATTACAGGTATAGTTGAAGGGAGGCAATTCTGTTCGAATCGACAATATTCACATTATGGTGGGCTAACTCTCCTAAAGGAAATTTTTTACATTCAGAAGGACTTGAATCTAAGACCTTACTTAAAAGAATTAAGCAATCCCATTGATTAAAATGTTCTTTCTAATTCAATGGATGCAAACCAATTCTATGAAACAGTAGTATCTGGATACCATAAAATCAAAGTGTTAAAAAAAAAAGTAAGACCATTTTAATACATTTGCTCCCTTTTCTTGTTCCTCTTAATTTCTTAACTAACCAGTGTATTACAAATAAAAAATAGTATATTTATAAATTGACTTAAGTAGTAAATAAACTAAAATTAATAATTAAAAAAAGGGACTAATCATTATATTAGTGAAGGTTTAACTAGACGCTTGGATCTCATTGCAGGACCATACACAATGTTTAGTATCATCCTAGGGGATAGGAAGAATGTTTTGTCTCCCAACACATCGATCTTGAGAAGTAATTAGTAACCTATCAAGGAACATATTTAGAAGTTGAA